AAAAAAAAAAAAAAAAAAAAAAAAAAAAAAAAAAAACAGGCGAGCACCACCACCGCCTGGCTTACAATGATAGTTTCTATACATAAGAAACACTAAAAAATATTTCATGTTCTCCTAAATGTTCATAATCACTACAAGTTCAGAAAAAAAATGACACTGTAAAGTACTGCCTAATCACAGGGGAAGATGTAGATCCTACTACATTTTTAAATTAATATTAAACATGAAACTTTCTTCCTTCTCATTTGTTTTTTTTAAGTTATGTCTACTACATTTTGTATAATTTAGGTTTTCTAAAATTTTATTGATAAAAAAATCATATATGACTTAGTATTGTGACTACACCAGTGTTAGTCTTATCTCTGAAATCATCTTAATGAAAGAGTTGTGTGCGCCACCAACACCCAGCACAACTAACTTTCTAGCATAGTTATAATAAGCCATACAATGACTTTCAAGGTTAAGGAATGGTGAACACAGACTTTAGCTGACTTACATCACTTCTTACATGGACTGGTAATTTGCAAATAAGAGGGCTGGCTGATTAACTGGCAAGTACACAGACTGATACAACAATTTTGTTATAATTAATCTTTGCTCATGGAGAATAGGAAATGGGGGAAATGGTTCTAAAAGGAACTGGATTTGTGCTTAAATAATACCTATAATCTAATAGTAAAACAAACTTAATGGTCAATTCCTTCTCTATGCAAATAAGAGGTTTAGATATATACCTTTAGAATTTTCCTGGCCACTTTGTGTTGGTACTGGACATGTTACACAGGGAGTGAGGTATGGGTCCACACAAAGAGAGCTACAGAGGTTTTTAATAACTTTTGAATTAGGACATGGTGTCCTTGTTGTACACTGCTGAAGAAGCTTGGCTATGCACTGAGCAGCATAGTTCTGTACTAGCGTATTCTCTTCTTTTTTAATTGTTTCCATTAGTGGTTTTATGATAGGATTCAATTTCTCTGGAAGCTGCTGCAAGCTCACGACTGCACATGCAGCAAAAGTATGCACTCTCAACTGCAACACTTGCCACTCTTGGTTCGTCTCTGCAACTGTCATTTGGACCTGATGTCGTTTACTATCTAACTGCTGTAACACTTGAGGATTTAAATCAAAACTTGATGTGACTTCATTAAAAACAGTAGTTACCTAATAAAAAAAAGAAAAAATGAAAAATCATTAATTACAACAACCCCAGATAGACTCTAAACTCCTAAATGTCAGTTTTCTCCTTTACTTACAAAAGTCCCATAGTATCAAGAATTTTTTAATATTTAATAAACCAAGTAAATATCGAAAATAGCCCCTAAAGTATAAATTAGTCTGTCTTAACAATAGCATTACTTTCTTAAGGAAAAGACACATTCTCTTGAGAGAAAATCACTATTAAGTATACCAAATTTCAACAATGAGCAAATAAATTAGTAACAGAAGGGTAAGAATAATGGTTATTTTGGAGGAAGGAGAGGAAAGGATAGGCTTGGAAACTGTCAAAGTACTCTATCTTGATTACATTTGTATCTGTGAAAAATCCATAAATTGGTCCACTTTAGATCTATGCCTTCATCTAACAAGTGCAAATGTCTGAATTTACTTAGAAATGTTAGGAAAACATCAGATGAATTGGTGGCTGGAAAGATGGGAGATACTGAAGTACACCTGTGATATAATGAACTTGGAAAAATATTAAGTGCAAAATCTAAACACGGGGTATGAATGAGTGTTGCTATTCTAAATGCTGAGTACATGAGCAGTTTTGTGTAACGCTTTTGCTTCTATATGTTTCAATATTTGTATCTTACACCAAGCAGAGAAATACTCAAGAAACCACAGAAGCAGTTTTTCCCATCTACCAAAATCTTATGATACACCAATAAATGACAAAACTTTACAAGTTTTCTATTAGGATGTATTAACTAGTTCTCTGTCCTCTAATTTCAAGAAATTCAGTACAATGAAATAACCTTTCTAAAGAGCAGGATGACAGGAAACCATACCACAAAAAGATTCAACATATTAGTATGCTTCTGGGGTGACACATCATGGCAAATTTCTAATCTTTATTTCATGTAAAGTTAAGAAAGTTACTTCTTTACTCACCAGATCATTAGCTTGATCTATTGTTAAAACATTGTTGTTTATTCTATTACCCACTTCAATATTTGCATCAGCTAATGATGATATAAACTGTTTACATTCATTCTGCATTCGTGTGAATGGAACAGCAATTTCATCATAATACAAATGTTCTGAAAGGATATCAAGTAAACGTGGCTGCACAGCTAGGGTAACAGCTTTACACTCCTAAAATACAATAGATATCAAGACTCAGGAACATATAGAAACATAATGGTAGAGATGTTTAAAATACTGACTTCAGACAACCAAATGCTACATTGCACTGATTTTCAATCTATAGTCTGTTATCTTCCAAAATAGTTAGTTACACAAAAGTATTACATCAAAACTACTTTGAAATTTTAATGTGAATGACTACAGACATGCACATTTAAGTATTATAATTGCATTTAATTTTCAACCTAATTATTCTTAGTGTACTCTGAATTTATTCAATATATGTATGCATATAAATAAATAAATAGATAAACAAAGCAGACATTTTAGAAGTATATTACTATAAAAACCAGTCAGGAATCAATCTGGCATGCACTAAAAATATTATTCAAAATTTGGTATTAGAGATCTTTAACAGTTCAACCACAGCTTCACATGCTGTATTGTAAAAATGGATATAATTTAAAAGCTACTTACCTGCCCCCAAATTTAACTAACCCTTCCCACTCTCTCTGGTTGTTGCCTGCCCCAACAAGAGGGGGAATGGCCTCAGTGGTAGCCATGAGGGGTTCTGTGGGATCTGGGTGATCAGCCTGGGCTTCACAGAGTAAATCCAGAGAAGCTCTGTGAGGGTCCAGAAACCGAACTGTCAACACTTGCTGCTGAGTCTGAGAGGCACAAAAACACAGCATCACTGCCTCTCCAGCACATGGGGTCCTGACAACAAAACAGATTAAGCTTTGCTTCTTTCCAGAGGCAAAGTGGGGTCTCAATTGCAGTAAAGCATGGCTCAATGACTTTTAGACAAAGCTTTGACAAACTGCTAAGAGGCAGTAACAAGCAACTCTCACAGCAAGTGCAGACAGTTAAATTTCCAGAATTCCAGTCAATGGAATAAACAAAACCAGCAGGAAGTTTCTTTGATTTACAGAAACAAGTTTAAACAAAATGATACATCTTACAGAAATTTAAAGTTAAAAAGGATAGAAGGGAATTTGGCTCATTTGGAAATGAAAATTTGAGTTTAAATGTGGAAATCTTTTTCTTGTGACCAAAACTTCTACCTTTGTCACTATCCATATAAATAGAGCTCCAAAATTACAAAGCATTGAAAATGTGCTGCCTGAAAACAATGACCAACTGAATTACACATTCAGGCTTTGGCTTGCATCTTTCTATACAAACAAGACTTTAACAAGGAGCTTTGTAACAGACTGTAGGGATGAACAGATACTAAATATGAGCACAACTTAGTCTCAGATATGAATGGGGTGCTAAAAAAAAAAAAAGTTAAAAGTAAATGGAAAACAAATCATGTTCAATATTATATGAAATACTTTCCCATAACTATTAGATTTCTATAAAGAAACTATAAGTTATAAATAGTCCTAAATACTAATGGAAGTTGGTTTTACTAAAGTTGCCTTTATTACTTTAGGAATATATCTTACCTTTTGTAAAGCAGCCCATTCACAGATTACTAATGCAACACTAATTCTCTGTAACGCAGATTTGGAGTTCAAATGAAATAGTAGTAACTGGCCAAGGGATTCTGCTGGTTTAATTTCTTGGTTTACCATGTTTACACTTGGATCACAAATACAGCAGCAAAGTGCTCCTAACAACCTAAAAGAGAGAAAAAGGCCGTACTATAAAATTTACTTGAGGGAAAACTTCTCTTACTAAATCCATTAAATTTTCCCCATAAAAACGTTAAATTATCTTCTACCTTATTTTCATGAATAGACATGGAGGAGTTTGTTTTGTTTTTGACACAGGGTCTAACATATGCCAGGTTGGCCCTCAACTCTCTGTCACTGAGGATGACTTTGAACTCCTGATCACCCTTTCTCTCAAGTGACACTGTGGATGCACATCACCACACTGTCTATTTGTTGTGTCTGGGGTCAAATCCAGAGATTTGTGTATGCTACAAAAAAATTCTACTAACTGAACCACACCTCCAACTCCAAATAATAATAATAATAATAATAATAATAATTTTGTTTAAATCCAGAGAATTATTATTATTATTATTATTATTTAGAAGACAGGGTTTCTCTGTGTAACAGCCCTGGCTGTCCTGGAACTCTCTTGTAGGCCAAGCTAGCCTGGAACTCACAGAGATCCACTTACCTCTGTCTCCTGAGTGCTGGGATTAAAGGTGTGTGGCACCACCCAGCCATCTATTTTTAAAACTTCAAAAACTTAAAAATATTTACTTGCTTTTTTCTTAGATAACTAGTGTAAAGAACAACTGACAGACATGGGGGAAAATATTTTGGTTCAATTTTATAGCTATTAGCCAAAATTTTCAATATATACTTGACACTTGATAAATGAATACTCACTTAGCTGCCATCATCCTGGCCCTCATAACTACAAAATCCCTGGTAGCTGAGTCTTCCATGATGGTGTCTGCACCTGCAATATACTCCTGAGGCACTTCTTTATTCTGAATTTGACCTTGCCGTACCTTACCACCTGTTTTTTCCTAGAGGAAAAACAGGAAGGAAAACCAATAATTAAAGATTAATCAATTAAATTTAGTTGGAAAAAACAAAGCCAGTAAAATGTAGTTCTTTTCATAAAATTCTAAATTACTATCCAGTTTGTAATAATTACTATCCAGTTTGCCAGAATCTGGATAAAGAATTGATCCTGCCTAATGTTAATGACGACACCCTCAGAATTAAGCAATAAATACAACTTTCTCAAACAGTTACTATATTGGTAATAATGAATTTAACATAGAAATAACTTAGGTTTCTCTATACTTACCTTGGCTTTTGATTTTACTTCTAGCAACATATTTAAATCAATAGGTAAATGAGAAGGCTGCATCATTAAGCAAAGCCAAGCACCCATCCATGGGCAAGCAGCTGCTACCACATACTGAACTGAAGCCTTGCTCAACAGTTCCATCCAAACCTAGGGAGAGAAAAGGAGAATAAACAAAATTTGAAATATACTTTTAGGGAAATGAACTGGAGGGAATATGATACAGTAAAGAGATTCACCTGAAAAGTCAACATAGAGGTTCACTTTGAAACACTGGTTAGATTGATAGGTTTCTATACTACATGAAATAATGCAAAGGAAAGTTTGTGGTTTTGTTGTTTTTCAAGAACATGGGGGACATAAGATTGCTCAGTGAGTAAAGGCACGGGCTACCAAGCTTGACAATCTAAGATTGATTTCCAGAACCTACAAGTGAAAGGAGAGAACCAACTCCTAAAAAGCTGTCCTCTGTCCTACATACCCACAACCAAACTATCAGTTATGGTTTTTTTTAATTTTCATGTATTTATGTGTGCTTTGTCTGCATGTATGTATATGTACCACATGTGTGACCAATGCCTATGAAGGTCAGAAGAAAGTATCATATCCCCTGGAATTGGAGTTACAGATGATTATAAGCTATAATGTGGGTGCTGGGAATCAAATCCAGGTTTTCTGCAGCAACAAAAGCTCTCAATCACTGAGCCAATCTCCAGCCCAGGAAATAAAGTTTTAAAAAAGGACTATAGGAGTCAGGCATTGGTGGCACATTCTTTTAATCTCAGCACTCAGGAGGCAGAGGCGGGTAGATCTCTGAGTTCACGGCCAACCTGGTCTACAGAGTGAGTTCCAGGACAGCCTCCAAAACAATACAGAGAAACCGAATCTCAAAGAAACAAAACAAAAAAAGGTATTTGAAGAATCCAGTAATCTACAAGATGATCCAGGAAACTAGGCTTCTTATGGAATGGAATATAAGTTCAGTTTAATTATGTTTCTTTGCTTTTTCTTCTATGTCCTAATGCTTTACTTTTTAAAAGGATTTTATTTTCTTTTTAATAGTGCGTGGGGGGCGATTCTTTGGAGGTCAGAGTATTCTGTTTCTTTGTGTAGGGACTTTGTGGGCATCTCTGTAACAGGGTCTCACATAACCAAGGCTGGCCTGAGCTTGCTGTGTATGATTCACCTCAAATTCCTGACCCTCTTGCTTTCTTCTTTCATTCCTTGGCTTACAAATAAGTTGAGCATGTTTGACTTGGCATGTTTAATTTATAAAGTCTTCCATAAACTATTGAATATTCTCTTGTATTGGTTTGTTGAATAGATCATCTATCTGTGTATCTCAGGCTGGACTTGAATCCACCTGTCTCTGCCTCCCCAGCTCGAGGATTAAAGGCATGTGCCACCAACTCTGGGCTCTCTTCAAATATCTTAATTGGCTTAATTCATTAAAACCCCTCACCCATAACATAGTAATTATATTTTAAATTTTATCTACAAATTTATTAGGATAAGAAATACAGTCAGACTCATAATGTACCTTGTGAATAAGATCCAGAATTTCCTGGCTGCTTTCTAAAACACAAAACTGAAAAATATGTCGCAGCATATCAGACAGGATAGGTATAAGCCAAGATGAAGAGTTCTGAAACAAAAACAGAATCAAATATATGACATGTGATTCCTGGACATTAGGTTACATGAACTAAAAAAATCAAGTAACACAAACATTGCCATGAAAAGAGTGAATTGTTTTATCAGATAGATTCAACTGGTGACAAATTTTAACATGCCTTTTTTGGACAGAACACCTAAATTCCCAAATATTATTTATAAATGTTTGTTTTCATTTAAATGTGGTTGGTTATAAATGGTTAATGATCACAGCCAATCTCTTTTTAAAGGAACAAGGGGGAATATGATATAGAAATGAATACTTTGCATTGGTATGGATTTTGGTTTATTGATACAAATTTATTGATACAAATACAAAATTGATACAAAATTGATACAAAATTATGCATATAATTTTGTTATTATATGCATATATCTCCTCTTGTTTGGATGTTGTGTTTATATAGCTCATTTGAAAATGTAATGTATAATTAAATACAGATTGTAGATAGTCACCTATGATAGTCAAAACTGATAATCGTGTTAGTTAGGTTTTCTAGATATATAGAGATATGTTTCACATGGATAGTCTTCAAAACTTTTCAAAGACCTTTAGAATATGGCATTTAAATGGTTTAGGGTTTTTCATGACTCTGAGACACAACTGCTCCTGCAATACCAATTACGTCAGGAAGGTGGGGATCAAAGAAACTTGTAGTGGAGTGTGCCTTCAACATGGCAGAAACAGCCATCTGGGCAGGACTGTATGACTGTATGCTGTATAAAATGGACATGGAGGACCTACAGCAAAGTGACTGCTGAGCGCGTGAAAACAAGATGGGACAGACATGCAGGGTTCCTGCTTCATGAGTCTGCCAGACATTCTGCAGGACACAGAGAAAAATGACTGACAAACAAACTGCCAGTACAGGCAGACAGTTTAAAATTTCCCGCTTCACTGAGAACCCTGCCAGACACACTAGGTCTGTGGGCTGAAGATGGGTGCCCCAGCATTACAGAGCAACTTTGGGTGACTGTCCAGTCAGATGTCTCTGTCAATTCCAGAGTTTATATGTTATCCTTCTGGGGTCTTTGAGGGAGTTGAAGACAGATAGTTAGGGCTTCCTCAGTTAAGATAAAAGTAAGTTACATATAAAACTTTAGACTCACAAATAGAATATTTTCTTTAAATTTTGCCAAATGTTAATGAACTAAATACTGTTAACTATAGTTCTCACTTGATAACTGTTTTGGTATATATAATTTGACTAAAGTTAAAACCTTTCTTTTTATTTAGACAGAAAAGATGATGATGGGAATGTGCTTCTGTATATATGTTTCTCTTATTGGTTTATGAATAAAACACTGTTTGTACAATGGAGGCAGGAAAGACAGTCGGGTCTATGAGAGACAGAAGTGAGGAGAGAGAGAGAGAGAGAGAAAGAGGCCGCCAGGAAGAGATGCCATGTAGCCGCCAAAGGAGTAACAGGTCCAGGCACTCTCCAGTAAGCCAAGACCACGTGAAAATACATAGATTAATAGTTATGGGTTAATAATTAAGAGAGAGCTAGCCAGTAAGAAGCCCTGGCCATAGAGCAACAGTTTTATAATATAGCATCCATGTGTTTATTTGGGGCAAAGCAGCTGCGGGACCAGGCCAACAAGACTTAGCAGCAAAAAGTACCACATCATAATTGCAATGGTTTAAAAATTACAAAATCCTATAACCACACGGAAGTGGAAGACCCTGATTATCATAACATGAAATTTTCTTCAATTAAGTTGAAAGTACAGAACCAAGCTATAAGCAACAGTGTCATCAGCATATGTCATGCCTTTGCCAAGAAAATGGGAAATGCTCAGAATACTGCCGCTGGGCTAAAGGTGAAAGCTTCAATTCTATGTACTCATCAATAACGCAAGGTACTTAGAATAGTCTTACTTTCTTCCCTAACTCTCATCTCAATCACTGGCAATCTAAACAGTTACCTGTAGACCCCAACCTCCATCTCTAGAGGAAGATGTCTGCACTGTATTTATAACAAGTAAAATGTGATATAATGTATATTTTCTGTCTCATGCTACAAATGCTGATAAAATATACACTGTAAGCATTCAAATCTGCCTGGGAGAAAAGAATTCCTAGGTAGAGCACAGAGGATGCTTAGAACAGTAAGACTATTCTACATAATTGTGCACACATGACACAAGAGGTTTGGTCAAGCCCATAGACTGTACAATACCAAGGGCAAACCCTAATGGAAAACTATAAACTTCAGCTGATGCAAATCCAATAATAATAGTGAGTGCCTTATTTTCCCATATAGAGTGCTCACAATGGGGTATGCCATATACAGTGTGAGATTAAGGTATTTTGGGAACACTGTATTTTTCCTTCAGTTTTCTATCAAAACTGTTCTAAGAAAGCTGTGCATGGTGGCATATGCCTTTAATCTCAGCAGTCCTGAGGCAGAGGCAGGCAGATCTCTCTGAGTTTGAGGTCAATTTGATCTACAGAGTGAGCTCCAGGACAGCCAGGTCTGTGTAGAAACAGCCTGTCTTAAAAAGAGGAGAAGGCAGGGCTGGAGAGATGGCTCAGGGGTTAAGAGCACTGACTGTTCTTCCAGAGGTTCTAAGTTCAATTCCCAGCAACCACATGGTGGCTCACAACCATCTGTAATGTGATCTGGTGCCCTCTTCTGGCACGTACTGCATACATGACAGATATTTAGATAAATAAATAAATAAACAAATAAATAAACAAATAAATAAATCTTTGGGGGAAGAGAGAGAGAGAGAGAGAGAGAGAGAGAGGCTGAATGTTGGTGGAGTGCGCCTTTAATCCCAGCACTCGGGAGGCAGAGGCAGGCGGATCTCTGTGAGTTTGAGACCAGCCTGGTCAACACAGTGAGTTCCAAAGCAATACAGAGAAACCCTGTCTCGAACCCCCCCCCAAAAAAAAAGGAAAAGAAAGAAAATGATGGTTCCAGTGGTAGAACACTTACTTTGCATGTGTAAAACCTGGGTTTAGTCCACAACATTATGACAAACAAAGAAAAGAAAATGCTCCTTATGATATGTTGCAACAATGAGATTATTATCACACACCTATTAGAATGGCTTAAATAAGGAACACTAGTAATAGTATAGACTGGCCACAATGTGGAACACTTACTGTTGAAAAAAGGGCAAAACCGTGCATCTATTCTAAAAGACAACGTAGAAGTTTCTTACAAAACTTACAGTAACATATCCTTACAGTATAGTATGTGGGCTCCTTAATATCTGACCACAGGAGGGGAGGTATTGAACCATACAAAAACCTGTACTATATAGAAGGCTTTTGTATATACTAACAAAACTTGAAAGTATCCAAGGTATCCTTTCAATAGGTGAATGAATTAATTAGGGTACAACAAGACAATAGAAATGTAAGACACCCTTAAAAAAATAAGCTATCAAGACAAGAGTCACAAAGAAAACTTGAATGCAATTACGAGGTAATGAAAAGGTTCCATATTGATGACTCCAACTACATATGCAAAACTATGTAGACAGTAAAAGATAAGTAATTATGAGAGAGTAGGAGGATGAGAAATGACTAGAAGAACAAAGGTAACTTTCAGAGAAATAAAACAACTCTGTACTGATAATGGTAGACACATGTCTTTATGTATTTGACAATAACATATCTTTCTTAGAATCTTCCAGTTTTACAGGCAAAACAATAAAAAAAACCCACAATAATTGTGAGTAAACAGAAGAGATCTTTATGAGGTGATATTCTTAGCTACAGCAACCTTACCCACTAAGTTACTATGGAATTACTCAAAGTGACAGCTGAGTGTATCAGAAACTGACACAGGAACATACCTAAAAAAACACATTTAACATTCAGAAGCTGGAAAGCAATTCAGTAGGTATGCAATCCATTTTCTATGTCAAATTTAGGTAAAAGCTGAGAGAGCTTGTGTAACCTATGTGAATTTGGGAAAGTTTCTTAATTTTTGAGCACTAGCATTTGCAAAATATAAATAGTTGCCACCTCCTATACAATGCTTTTCATAATTCCTAGCATTAAGGGAACCCAATAATACTTCAGAGTACTATTACCTTTTTTGTTTTGGGGGGTGGGGGCGGAGGGGTTGAGACAGGGTTTCTCTGTGTAACAACCCTGGTTGTCCTGGAACCTGCTTTGTAGATTAGGCTGGCCCCTCATAGAGATCTATCTGCCTCTGCCTTCCAAGTGCTGGGATTAACACACAGCTATATTGTTACTTTTTAAGTATCATTCTTACACCACAGAACATAAATAAGATTTCCAATAACTGGGGGCTGGAGAGATGGCTCAGAGGTTAAGAGCACTGACTGCTCTTCCAGAGGTCCTGAGTTCAATTCCCAGCAACCACATGGTGGCTTACACTATCTATAATGAGATCTGGTGCCCTCTTCTGGTGTATACATAATAAAAAAGAAGTTGGAGACCATTCTCAGTAACACAGAGAGACCATCAAAGGGAAAGACAGAGGGCAGAGAGACGGAAGATGAAATGAAATAGAAAAAGAACTTATTGTAGAATTGGATCTTTCTATTGTGAAAAGTAAGAACTTCCATGACAGGCTCTGTGTAAGCTGGAGAACCAGGACCAGGAATACAATTCTGAGAAAATCAGAAGGCCGGGAACCACAGGGACTCCTATGGGTTCAAGAGTACAGGATTCCAGAAGCTCCAGTACCCAAAGACAAAAGAAGATCCATGCCCCAGCACAGCCCATTATGAGATCTGGTGCCCTCTTCTAGTGTGCAGATATACATGGAAGCAGAATGTTGTATACATAATAAACAAATAAATATAAGAACACCATTTTTAAAAAAAGAATTCCAGTAATCAAGTATGGTATAAGTATGTTTTACTCTGTGCAATTATTTATATTTGTATAGAATTAATATTTGCAAAATCATTTATATCATCTCACTTTTTAACTATAAGAAAGGCCACACAGGAATGCTGGTTTTTTTGTTTTGTTTTTTTTTTTTTTTTTTTTTTTTTTTTTTGATAATGTGTATGGGTGTTTGCCTATTCACCACTTGTGTGCCTGATGCCCATGGAGGCCAGAAGAGGGTGAAGGAAAACCTAGACTGGCATTACAGGTGGCTGCAAGACACCATGTGGGTGCTGTGAAAAAAAAATCTCCAGTCCTTTGGAAGAACAGCCAGTACTTTTTAGCTGTTGAACCATCTCTCCAACCCCAGGTTTTTGCTTTTAATTGGAATGTATTCTTTTAACGATTTGTTTCCATTTTTATGTATATAAGTGTGTTGCCTACATATATGTATATGCATCATGTATAGGGATTTAACTAAAGAATGTAGGAACTCAGCCTCTTTCTGAAATCTTTATATTATTACAGACTGAGGTGTCAGACACTGATACAAGCTTTAGGTGATTGCTCCTCATGTTCTGTCTGTTACCATGCTAAGAACCCTGACCAATACCTAATGCTGCCACAGGTACAAGAACAGGGGAAGCAGACGAAAGAAAGGAAATTAAAAATAATTGTAGGCTTTATTGTAACATCAAATATTTTGGAGCCAAATGTGCTCAGAATATTTCTAATTTTCGGAAAATAATAAAGTTGTATGCACTGGACATTATGTAACCCCTTATAGAGTCTGAGGCAACACTTGACTAAAATGTTATTTTATAAATAGGCACATGCAGAGGAGAAAGGCTAGAAATAGCTTTTCAGGATGGTTTGGCACCAAATGAGTAATTTTATTAATTGACAAAACTTACAAAAAGCTTTGAATTTCAAATCTGCAGGCAAGAAAAAAAATTTAAAAATCAGGAAAGGCATCATGGAACTATATTAGTAAAGATTTTATACACAACTATAAATTATCAATAAGTAACTACCGGATAATCTGTGAAGAAGACAATAATAAAAAGATGGCATCCGATGGAGAACTCTAAGGGCTCTTTAGATGTTACTGGAACCAGATTTACAATGAAGTTTTCACTGCATAATAGTTTTGTCCAAACAACAGTTCAGATTTAAATGGGGTTGCAGAAAGATAATTCAGCAGGTAAATGTGCTTGATGACCTGAGTTTAATCCCCAGAATCTGGTAGGAGAAAAATCAACCCCTGCAGTTTCCCTCTGACTGCCATGTGTATACTAGTCATCCATACAAATACAAATGGAAGGAAGGAAGGAAGGAAGAACAAAAACCAGAGGGGTGGGGAGAGAGCTCAGTCGTGGCATGCTTCTCTTATAAGCACAAAAACCACAGTTTAATACCCAGAAACCCATATTTTTTAAAAGGGAAGGAAAAACAAAACAAAACAAAAACCTAGGGCTGGAGAGATAACTCAGTGGTTAAGAGCATTTGCTGGACTTGCAGCTCCAGCAGTCTGACACCTTCTTTTGTCCTATGGGACACTAGACATACATGGTACACATAAACGGATGCAAGCACTCGCACATACACATAAAATAAAAACAAAAACAAAAGCCAAACAGGGCAACTAAGGAGGCAAAAGCAGGCAGATTTGGCAAATGCCAGGCCAGTGTGAGCCCTGACTCAAATCAAAAAGGTAAAAGGGTGATGGAGCCCAAGGAATGACAGACATAGAAAACTGTCCTCTGGCCTGTGTGTGTGTGTGTGTGGGGGGGGGGGGGGGTTACAGAAATTAAAATAGTTTAGAGACACTGAAAATCTGACCTGTTCCATAAAGGAAAGAGTACCCTGAAGGTAAACAGGAAGAGAGCTCACATTTAGAAAAGGATTTGGGTGAGCCATGTGTTCATGCATGTGTGTCTGTTTATAAACTTAGAGTAGTAAGCCATATGCAAAGATACCCTGATCAAGTACACCTGGTTATAGCTGGATAAAAAGGGCAGACTGAGAAATGCTCTCAACTCTGGGGTATAAATAAGGAAATAGATTAACATTGGTTTGATACCAGCCAGATATCAAGATAAACGCAGGGGTTTACTATAGCAGACATGAACAAGCTACTTAACAGTTTGAAAATAACTGAGCTATGGTTCCCCAAACTGTTGTGTTTTTTTGTTTTGTTTTGTTTTGTTTTGACAGCATTTCTGCCTGTGTAGCCCTGGTTGTCCTAGAACTCACTCTGTAGACCAGGCTGGCTTCCAACTCACAGAGATCTGCCTGCCTCTACCTCCTAAGTGCTTCCAAACTGTTCTAGTAGTTAACTTAAATTCTTCCTTTTAATAATACCATGAATGTGCAGAAACAAGTACCAGGGAGAGGAAGATAATAATTTTGTAAATATGTAAACAGAAGAAAGTACATAAACTGGAAAAACAGGCCACATTGGACTACACAGCAAGACCAATTCTAAAACAAAAAAGACATGTTGGGGTGGGGGGTTATTCTTTGGGACAAGGTTTCTCTGTGTAGCTTTGGTGCCTGTCCTGGCACTCCACCTGCCTCTACCTCCCAAGCACTGGGATTAAAGGCATGTGCCATGACCATCTGGGTAAAAGGTGAACATGTTTAAAAAAGGGACATTCCATCATGGCTGGGAAGTCAAGGCAAAAAGAGCCTGAAGCAGCTAGTCACATCACATCAATCAAGCAGCAGCGAACACGGGAGCTGGAGAGATGGCTCAGTTGTTGCAAAGGACCTGCATTTGAGTCCCAGCATCCACATGGAGGGTCAACCACCTTCTAGGGCACCAGGCATGCATGTGGTGCATATACACACCACTCATACACATAAAATAAAAATAAACCCAGTGACAAAGTAACAAAAACCATAAACTCCAAAACAAAGTGATTGGCCCAAATACCAATTTCAGTCCTCAGGAGGCTAAGGCAGGCAAATGTCTGTCAGCTGGAGCCCAATCTGGTTAACATAAGGAGTTCCAGGCCAGCCAAGGCCACACAGTAAAATTCTGTCAAAAAAAGTGATTGACTCAAACACTTAACACTTTATTGGTATTTTTTTCCTGACATATTTTCTTCAATCTCCAGAATTATTTCAAAACTAGGAGTGTAAACAGGACTCATCAGCTCACCATTCATACACTAATATGACCTGAGTGAATACTGTGGGAATCTCAGTATGTGTCTGATGAATTACATGATCCTTGGCAGCACATGCTCTTTGACAGTAATTTTTAAGGGAAGACAATTTGAATCCCATAGTCAGTCTTGAAGGAATTTGACTTCAGTGATTCAAATGCAGCCTTTATAACCTGGGATGATTTCTGCCAATGACCCATCAACCATAAAGACTAACGTGCCTCCTATAGGAAGGGAATATTCAATCAACAATTCACTTAATATTTATTGGTTATCTCCTATGTATTAAACATTACTCCAAGTTCTGAGAATATAAAACTAAAAATTCTAAAATACTTCTGACCTCATATTGACGATATTCTTATGTTTATATGGTTACCATCCACCTACTATATCCAAGCATTCAGATTTTTTGATATATAGCAAAGATGAGGCTAACATCTGATCTGTTTTATAAAATTAATTTACAAAGGTTTTGAAGTTGCGATTTATAACTATCAGTTCTTACCTGGTCCTGTGTTGATAACAATGTAAAGAGAGTTTCCAATGCTGCTCTTCGAACTGAAGATATAGTGTGATGCAAAAATGGCCAAACTCGTGGAACTAAAACTGTGAGTGACTGCTGAATACTAACAAAGAAAAGACAAATTAATCTTATTCATTCTCAGTTGAAACTCCATAAATATGTTATCTAATATCAATGTTGTATGAACCTGGTGATAATGCTGACATGTCTCTTTCATAAATAAAAGATGATCCAATTTTCATGAGTATTCACTTAACACTCATTCAAAAATGCTATTCTAATACTAAAAGAGAAAATGCAGCCAATAAAGGGTACAGATTTAATCATAGGTTTTTCTAAGGCATTAATGCTTTAACTACCCTCATCAAGTTAGAACTTTCCAATATATCTGCAGAAAATGGGAAATGTATCCTAGCTACACATCAGGTTCCCATAACTGTTTTCCATTCTAGGGGCTAACCTTAATGTGTAACTAGCTAATCATAATTTCTATTCCTCTTTCAGGCCTCAAATGAACAAGAGATTAAGAGATAAGAATAGTTTGGAAATTTGTTATTCTGGCTTAGCAATTTCTAGATTAGGAAGACTCACATTTCTTCCTTCTCAGATAAGGTTTTAAAATGATGAACTAGGCTAACTTGAATCATAGCACTTCTGCCACATTCAAGAGTCATTTCTAAAAGGTACCTCAAACTAGAAAGTAATTCTTAAATAGCATTTGAGCCATGTACCTTAAAAGAAAAAAGGTAGTAACAAAAAAGGACATGGCAGAATCAACACCATCATCTGTCACCGCCAATGCCTCCCTCAAAGCATCTCTTTAATGCTATTTTCATTATTTGCAGGTATGCCTGAACTTTACTTCTTGCACTTATTTATTTTGTATATTCATTTTTAATGTTCCAATTTAAATACATGCACATGCAGTCGTGAGTGATTCAGAGCACATAAAAGCATCATAACAAGGACTTGTTAATAGTGACATGTGGCAATTCTTGTAAGCTAGAAAGTATCTGCCAATTACAACAACATATGGTGTAATTTTTCTAATAAGGCCAATTTTGAAATAAAAAAGGTGGGAAACTACATTATTTTACATTGGATTACCAGAAATTTTATTATATTGCACAAGTTTCTTATATTATCCACATTTTTAAAATTATTTCATTATTTTTATTATGGGTGTTCTGTCTGCATGTATGTCTATGCGTTACATCCATGCAGTGTCCACAGAGACCAGAAGAGAGCAGTGGAAGCTCTGGAGCTAAAGTTACGGATGGCTGTGAGCCCTAATGTCATGTGGGTGTCAGGAATTGAGCCTGGGTCCTCTGAAAGAACAACCGGTACTCTTAACTGCTGAGATCTCTCCAACACTACATTATTTAGTTGTCTTGGGTACCACCTGCTAAGGTCTACAGACTAAATCTACAGACTTTTTTTTTTTTTAATGAAAGTTTTACTGGAACTATGTATTGTATACTGGCAGTTTTCTGATTACAGTAACATAGTGGAATAGTTTCAGCTAAGAATGGCTCACAACTAAAAATGATCAGTATTTAACCCTTCAAAGAGATTTACTTAACTTCTGGCTTAAAGTAATTTAAAACCCATGACTTTACAGCATTGGGAGAGTTGTCGAATGAACTCACTTACTCCCTTTGTATTGTATTAGTAGCAGAAGCTGTCAGGAGTGGGAAAACCACATGTCACTACCACTGTCAGTTGCTGTCTTCTGATGTGATGTGTCTATGGGAACTAACTTGCTACTCCTACTTGCATGCTGTTTTGCCGGCCTAGAATCTGCACTAAATACTACTAGTCAGTAGTTGCATTTCATACATTTGAATTTCACTGAAATACTCATTCATACAGTTGGAAGTTGCTTTAAAATCATAATCATAGGAACATCCACTGAATAAACTCACTAGACTAAGAACAGTAACTTCCCATTTGTGAATTTTTAAAAAGCTGTATAACATTTCTTCTACATTTTTGTGAATACTGTTAGTAGAAACAATAGCAGCATTCTGGCATGTTAAATTTGAAAAATCTATATTCTGGGCCATCACTGGAAATAACTGACTTTTGTGTGTGTGTGTGTGTGTGTGTGTGTGTGTGTTTAATCCAGCTGTGGTTATTTTTTAAACTTTTTTATTTCATGTGCACTGGTATATTGCCTGCATGTGTCTCCACAGGGAACACGGGACTGAAATTGCAAGGTCGTGGCTGCCACTTTGTGAGATAGGGTGAGGAGAGCCTGGACAAGAATCGTGGTATTGGGATTTCACAGACTGCAGAACTGGCTCAGTAGGTAAATACATACATCATACAAACATACATAATACATTCATACATCGCTCATACATAAATACACATATACACATACACACACAGTTCCACATATGAGTGTATATACGCCGGTGAACATTCACACACATAAAATAAAAATAAGTGTTTAAAAAGAGGGAAAAAAGGCATAAGCTACCATCACCAGGTCTAAGATTACTGTTTTTTGGTTTTTTGTTTTGTTTTTGTTTGTTTTGTTTTTTTTTTTTTTTTTTTTTTTTTTTTTTTTTTTTTTTTTTTTGCTTGTCTTTTATTTTTTGCTGTTGTTGTTGTTGTTGAGGCAGGGTTTCTCTGTATAACAGCTCTGGCTGTTTTGGAACTTGCTTTGTAGACCAGGTTGGCCTGGAACAGAGACCCACCTGCCCCTGCCTCCCAAGTGCTGGCCTTAAAGTCCACCACAACACAGCAAAATAACTGCTTTTAAAATAAATTAATTTAAAGTATCTACTTTCGATTCACAAGCTAATGAACTATAAACTAGCTAACTTTAGGTTTCTTTCCTTGTGTAAGTGCAGTGCTAGAACTTAGAGCTTTTTACGTTAGGCAATCTCCCACTAAGCTCTGATACCAGGCCCTAAAATAATCTGTCTCAAAGTTCAAGTAGCTAGAATAAAGGAAAAAAACTTCCTGAGAGACAGTGGTGCCCTCAATATACAACACTGTTCTTAAAGGTACTAGAATAGTCTAATAAGAAATATTACCTGCATTGCTGGACCTGAGGGTAAGTTAACATGGATGAAAGAAGAGTCATAATACTATTTGTTGAAGCTGTTAGATCATCTAATTCCAGGAGAGAATCCCATAAGGTATTTATAATGGAGGGCACCTGTAAGATCAATTTTTAAAAAAAGTTATCATCTGCACACAAAAAAATCATAAATCCTACCAAATTATATCCCAAAGGGTCATTAACGAATCAACCAGATATATAATTCCAATTTGGACAATGTCAGTTTTAAGTATCATCAAGGAAAAGACACTACTTGCCTTTAACAATTCCCTACCCGCTTTTTAATGCCATTCAGCTCTACTTTCATGATTTTCTCTCTCAGCAGAATTTTACTGGGCAGGATAACTTCAGGGAATTTAAGTGATATAAACAATCACGAAAATACAAGTTTAGTTTTGAGGTCATAAAATAATGTTGGCTGTACTTTTAACTTCATATTCTGGATTTGATAAAATGAAAATGCAGCTAAAATTTAATAGTCTCTTAAAAATGAGATCAGGGCCGGGCGTTGGTGGCGCACACCTTTAATCCCGGCACTCGGGAGGCAAAGGCAGGCCGATCTCTGTGAGTTCGAGGCCAGCCTGGTCTACAGAGCGAGTGCCAGGATAAGCTCCAAAGCTACACAGAGAAACCCTGTCTCCAAAAAAACCAAAAAAAAAAACTAAATAAATAAAAATAAATAAAAAAATAATAAGATAGGTTAAAATGCTAAGAAATAAAATCAAAATTACAATTTGACATCTTTAAACATAAGGAGTAAATTCAAGATGAAATAGCTGTTTCTTTTTCAAGGAGCTTCTGTATATTATGTATATGAAGGGAATTAGACAATACACAACTCACTGTTCCCAAAGACAACACATAATCAAGCTTGCATGCATCAGAAGAAGAGAAAAGAGAATTTTTATAAAAGATGTAGGAGATAAAATAACAAGAATGCAATGTTTTTTCTACTATACCATACCAAATGTAAACATGCACTATAGGAAGAAAACGACGAGAAACTGTTAATGTACCTTTTGTGTCTGAAGGTATACAAGGCTTTCTACTACAGGCACTAAGGATGCTGCAGCAACAGCTCTGACATCATCGTCAAGGTCCTGGAGTCCTTCAATTATTCGAGTTAAAACTTTAGGCAATAAAGTATTAATTACATCCTGCAAAAAAAGTACATCAAAACAGGCTAATTTTCTATGGTGTAATTACTGTGTTCAAACATCTCTATTAACTTTGAACACATATTCCAGTATTTTTATATTTGAAAAGAAACACAAACATAAGTTAGCAAAAGCTTACATAAATAATCCCACTAGAGAAAGATTCCAAATACTTATTAAAAGCTATCAAGTACTGGGGCTGGAGAAATGGCTTAGGGGTTAAGAGCACTGGTTGCTCTTCCAGAGGACCCAAGTTCAATTCCCAGCACACACGTGGCAGCTCACAACTATCTGTAACTCTAGTTCCAAGGTATCCAACACCCTCTTCTCACATAGACACACATGCAGGCAAAACACCAATGCACGTAAAATAAAAAATAAACTAATTTTTAAAAATAAGCTATCAAATACTATAGAGGCTGGTCATGATTGTACACACTTTTAATACCAGTATCTGTGAGTTCTACACCAGCCAGTACTACATAATAAGACCATATCAAACAAAACAAAACAAAAGGTTATTAGCTAGATGGTGCATTCCTTTAATTCTAGCACTAAGGAGGCATAGACAGGCAGATCTCTGTGAGTTCAAGCCATTCTGAGCTATACAGTAAAACCCCATTTTGAATAAGAAAAAAAAAAATCAAGTACTTTATTACTGGATATAACCTAAACATCAGAACAGTTCCTAGCAAGACTATAAATGTTGTATGTGAACAGGAAGGTAGATCTCTGCAAGTTCAAGGCCAGTCTGACCTACAGAGCAAGTTACAGGATATCCCACCTCAAAAAAAACAAACAACAACAAAAAACGAATTGGCCTTGTGGAACTGGGTAGTAAAACAGTTTGCTCTACAAGCATGGAGATCCGAGTTCAAATCCCCACACCAACATTGCTACCTGCTGTGGGATAATCTTTCTGTACACTGTGAGTATGTATTCCTCTCATTGGTTAATAACGAAAGCTATGTGGCCAATTGCCAGACATGTTAAGGTTAGGCAGAACAATCAAACTGAGAACTCAGATGAGGAATAGGGAGTTGACAGATGCCAGCCAACTGCCAAACAAGCAGGGTGTGCAGAAATGAGGTAATAAGCCTTGAGTCATGTGGCAGAACAGATAGAAATATTGGTTAATTTAAATGTGAGAGTTAGTAATGAGCCTGAGCTATTGGTTGAGCATTAATAAGCCTATAAGTAATTATTTGGAAAAGGCTATAGGACAGGGCAGGACAAAGAAGGTTCCTTTTACAGGCAGCACTGTTGGGGACAGACTGAGGGCTCCTAAGAAATTGCTGGCTAGAAAGTCAAAGAGGTAATATTCCGGTTCAGTAAAAATCCTGTCACAGCACTGGGTGATGAGTGAGACTCTAATATCCCTATGTAAGTCATTACACCAGAGACACTTTCATATCTGTGATCACTGATACACTACTCACAGTAGCCAAAATATAGAACCAGTCTGGATGTTCATCAACACATGAATGAGTGAAGAAAATGTGGTACACATACAAAATAGAAAAAACTTACTCAGTCATAAGGAAGAATGAAAGTGTGACAACTGCAGAAAATGGATAGATTTGAAAATCATTATATTAAGCAAACTAAGCCAGACTCGGATAGACAAATTGAATGTTTTCTCACATATGAAGGTTATAATAGGAGGAATGGGTGCCCTTGCACTCACAAGACCACAACAGTAGAAAGAGGATTATGAGATGAGGACTAAGGAGAAACAAGGAAATGAAACATTTGTGTCATAAAAGCAAAAGAGGGAATTATTTGAGATGAGGGGGGAAAAAAATCAAAAGGTAGATGGGGGATGAAGGAGATGATTAACAATAAATCACACACACACACACACACACACACACACACGGGGATCAGGCTTCAGGGAAAGGATCACAGGTCCCATGTTGGACCAAGAAGATGGCAAAAAGAAGCCCCTTGAAACAACCTGAGTAGGCCAAGGATACAATGAGGGAGGCTTTAGGAAGAGATAAAGAGTAGCAGACGAATCTCCAGAAGCTAAAAGCCAAGGCCATGGTGAAGGACCCCTTGGCTAGAGGTATGATTATAAAATCTCGCAAAAGTAAACTGTCCCTTATACCTGAGCTAAAGGTAAGCCCCTTCCATTCCTATTTAAACATCTAGATTCCCTGAAGTCATATCTTTAGTCACCTATAGCTAGAAAAAGGGTTATCCCAGAGCCTGTTACACTCTGTAACTAACTTTTGTAAAGTAATAACATGAAAATGCCAAAATGAGACCCAATTCTTTGTACATTAACCAAATATTAATTTAAAATTTATGAAAACAAAAAAGAGGAAAAAATGCTTCTCAAGAATGAGCCAGCTTATTAGTCAGAAAAGTGTTTTGGAGCCAGGCAGTGGTGGCACACGCCTTTAATTCCAGCACTCCAGAGGCAGAGGCAGGTGGATCTATGTGAGTTCGAGACCAGCTTGGTCTACAAGAGCTAGTTCCAGGACGGCCTCCAAAGCCACAGAGAAACCGTCTTGAAAAACAAAAAAAAACAAACAAAAAAAAGTGCTAAAAGTCATGTTTTGTTTTATGAAACAGGGCTTCTCCTTTCTTTTTTTAAAGATTTATTTATTATATATACAGTGTTCTGTCTGCATATATGCTTGCAGGCCAGAAGAGGGCACCAGATTTCAGTACAGATGGTTGTGAACTACCATATGGTTGCTGGGAATTGAACTCAGGACCTCTCGAAGGGCAGCCAGTGGTCTTAACCGATGAGCCATCTCTCTAGCCCATGTAATTATAATCCTTTTTTTTTTTTTTTTTTTTTTGCTTTTTCGAGACAGGGTTTCTCTGTGACTTTGAAGGCTGTCCTGGAACTAAGCTCTTGTAGACCAGGCTGGTCTCGAACTCACAGAGATCAGCCTGCCTCTGCCCCTGTCTTCTGAGTGTAATTATAATCTTAAAAGGTAAATTTTTTTTAATTAATCTTATTATGAAATAGGCACAGCTTTTTAAACACTAGCAAGGCATTTTTATTCTTTTTTTTTTTACAATTTTTTAAAATTAATTTTTATTTAAATTAAAAACAATCTTATTTTACATACCAATACCAGCTCCTTCTCCCTGTTGACCTCCCATTCCTACCACCATCACCCCATCCCACACCCACAATCCACTCCCCAGGGAGGGTTAGGCCTCCCATGGGGGATCATCAAAGTCTGTCTAGGCCCTCCCCGATGTATCTTCATTCTGTTTTCTATAGAAGCTCTTGGGGGGTGGGGGGACAGTTGTGTCTGAAGAGTTGATGGGTGAATTGCAAGAACTGAAGGGGCTGGGAAAAGCAAGTAACAAAGCAGAAAGGACAAACAAAGAAGTAGAAAGCTGGGCTTTTGAGCAAAATCACAAGGTAATATTTTATTGCTGGCCGTTTTAAACAACAAAAGAAAAAGACAACCTTAGAAGTAACTTCAAAGGCTTTCAGGAATAGGAAGGTAGGTTTCATTCTTGGACTAGTGAGAAAGAGAACAGAAGAAAATCTAATCCAATGTATTAGGAAGGACAATCTCATAAGATCCTGCCAATGTTGCTGGTTCTAGAAAGCATTCAGGAAGTTACACACTGGGAAGAAAAGGCTCAGCACTTGTTTCTCTGTAGCTCCTCCTTTATTCCATTGCTTCTTTTTCTTTTCTAAAGGTAAGGTCTCATGTGCATCCCAGGCTATACTGTTACTAAGGATGACCTGGAACTTCTGATCCTTTTACATCTGCCTGACAAATACTGGGAGATAAGGCCTTTGGACCATACAGGTTTGACTCCAAGCACTAGGATTACAGGCCTGGGACACTATGCCACTTGCTTTTATCATTTTAGCACTCAACTTTGTAAAAGATATATGGTTCATAAATTTAAAAAGCTTTTGAGTCACACACGCACACGTTTTTATACTGGGTGAAGCCTGACAATGGAACAAACACTGGATTATAAGACACTCCCATTAACAAACAACAACAAAAAAAGATACACCATATAGTTTTGACTTTTGGTACTAAACCTAATTAGTTGTATAACCTTAAATAAGACTTCTAACTTTTAGAACTTGTTTTCCTATATGAAAATGGTAAGGTACCTGTATTTTCTTTTCCTAAGCCTTCTTACAAAAAAAATAAAAAATAAAAAAACACTGATGAATAAAGTAAAAAAAGTACATTATGTGTAGACTGCTTGCTTTGATGATTGCTGTATGTTTCCTGGGATGGGTTTCCTATTTCTCCTGCATTAACTTACAGACCATGAGTTTAAACAATTAAAGGAACTATGAAATGCACTGAATTAGTTGCAACAAACAATATAACTAACCCTCCTTTGATTTCTCTGTAAACTGCTAATAGCATCACCTATTTCTGGGATACTTTTTCAAGAAGGCAAGCTTGAGCCTGGCTTGATGACACACACCTGTAATCTCAGAACCCAAGAGGCAGAAGCAGAACCACCTCTGCAATTTTGAGGTACACCTGGATCTACACAGCAAGTTCCAAGCCAGGTAGAGCTACATACCTAGATCATAAAACAAAGGAGCAAACGAACAATCAAGCATACCCATTACAACAAACAAAACACCTAAGACTGGAAAATCCCTCACATGCACTTTCAAAAGCTGAGTTATTTACCTGTCGAACTGCCAGAGCATATTTTATTCCCAGCAGACCACCATGTCTAACTTCCCACTGTTCTTGGGTCAGTAATTTCAGAAGCACATCCACAGTCTTATGAACTCCTGTTTCATTCATGTGCTTTAAAACAACACCTAATGTTTGAGCACAAGTTTCACGAACTGGTGCTACAACCTATAGAATAGAAAAAAGTCATATATGCAAAAAATTTCTCATGTAGAATTTACAATTTGGGCAAAGCTTCACTCAGATGATACTTACTTCATCAGAAACAAAGTCCCCAAATCTGTCCAAGGCAAAAACACAAAGGAGTCTAATGACTAAGTCCTCCAACCACTCTTGATGCTGCTGAATCATCTATTAAGATACAATCATTTTTAATAATAGGTAAAAATCAACTCAGTACTAGGAGTATAATGGAAGTGTTAGGTTCAAAAAAAAATTACAATACTGGGTGGGACAGACTATCTTAACAGAATAAAGTTACCAAACTGTGGAAGAGTTCCATATACCATCTTTAGATGTAGCCATGTCCTCTTATTGATTATATTCAGAAACACTACACTTATATTCATGGTTCTATTATGTTATACCTGTACTCTTAAAACTAATTATAGGCTGGGTACCCAAGAGGCAGAGAGGCAGATAGATCTCTGTGAGCTCCAGGCTAGAAAGGTACAGGGAGATCCAGGCCAGCCAGGGCTAAACAGCGAGACTGTTTCAAAGACCCGCCCCCACCCCCCAAGAAAACAAGGGAAAAAGGATTACTTTAGATTACTATGTATCAGGTCTTCTGATATCTATGCTATCCCAGTGTTTCTTCCTACAGACATGTTGCTCAGGGATCATTACCATTTTCTTCACCTCACTCTACTCTCTACTGCATTATATTCTGCTCAAATGCTCCTTTTTACACTTTCTCCACCCCAGTGTTTCTGAACATCTGTTCCCTAGACTTAATTCTACAAACTTCCTTTTTTTTAACCTTTTCAAAGTACTTCCTCTTACCTTGTATTCCTGCTTTATGGTATGCAACTTTTGTTACTTCCCCCCTACATTGGAAAGAGACTGACTACTAAATAAGTAATAATTTTATACTTACCTCTTCTAAAGTGCTGTCTCCCATTTTACCACCACTTTTCCCATGAGCTTTAAGAATTTCTCTAAGTCCAGTACCTGCCCCATGTCGAACCTTAAAAAAAAAAAAAAAAAAACAAAAAAAAATGCAGGAAGCAAGTATCAGAGATCAAATGTTTAAAGAAGCCAAGTTCAATTTTTCTTTAGTATGAAAATGTTTTCCAGTCAGCACTGATGCTACAGAAACATTAAAAGGTAATTATGTCTATCTGTCTGCCTGCTTGCCTTCCTTACTTCCTTTTGCCACAATGTTTTACTTTGTAACCCTCATTGATCTGAGAGCTGCTATGCATACAAGGATCGCCAAGAACTCAAGAAGATTGGCCTGCTTCTGCTTCCCTAAATGCTGAGATTAAAGGCACATGCCACCACACTTGGCCTATAACCATGTTTTTAATATGCATTTGTACTAGGATACACAGAAAGTAAAATAAGTGATACCTTTTAGGACTGTGTTTTTCAACTGAGACAAATTATTTTATTTCACAACTTTTTTGGTTATATGGAAGGTTTTAAAAGTTGAGAAAGAAAGTAGTTATTCTCCAACTCTAGCCAAGTAACTAACTCTACCTGGCTCTCACACCCACCCCCAGCCACTAGCTGCACTCAGAACTAAACAGCAAATTCCTGTATATTTTTCTATCTAGGCCAAACACTAATATTTTAGTACATGCATTAAAAACAAAAACAAAAATGGTCAAGTGCCAAAAGAGAATTTATACAAGATGTCTAACGACAAACGCTTCCTTATAGCCTATGGATAAATCTCCATTCTCAGAGATGAGGATACTCTTACATGTTATCAGAAGGGGGGGGGGAGCCAAAATGATACTATACTCATTTATTTAAAAAGCTAAGACTTACTTAACTTTAAAAAAGTATTCACAGCAGGATTTTTCCTCCTTTTCTTTTCCTTTCTATGCTGATAACACCCAGGCAGGGCCTCATACATGCTAAGCAAGTGCTATACCAATGAGTTACATCCCTAGGCCCCAAAGCCTCCTTTGTTAATTCGAGGGCTAGCTAAAGGTTTGACATAACCAACTAGTAATTCAACCAAAGGCTTCATTTTCACCTTTTCTACATATTGGAATATGTTTGAAATTTAAAAATTAAAAAAAAAAAAAGAAAGAAATACTTTGGAGGTTAAATTACTTCTGAAACTGGTTTGAAAATGACTACCTCATCAACAGCCATGCCACTCTGGATGTGCCCAATTTGGACTCAAAACTTTTTGTTTTGGTGGTGATAGATTTGAGGTTTGAGCTCAGGGCCTTGTCTATGATAAACACAGGATTCTGTACAGCTTCTATACACACCCAGGCACTGAAATTACTACTCCTGGCAAATCAAAACTGCCCACTGTAGGCATGATATAGTGGTGAACATTTGTAATCCTAGAACTTAGGAGACTGAGTCAAGAATATCACAAGGTCAAAGCCAGACTGAACTACAATGACACTGCTACCCTACTCCCCAAAAGCTGTCCATTTTCAATGAAAAATAATTTTTTAATCTCTATGAGAAAAATACAAGTTTTTATGGTAGCCAAAAGAATTAAAAATGAACTTAAAGAATTAAAAATTAGAAATGAACTATTTGCTTCAGAACATAATTTAAAGGATGAGAAAGGTTTAAAGGAAATCTAAAATATTCTATTTAGAAGTCAAACCTCATGTGGTAGAGTACACTTTTAATCCTGGCACGCCGGAAGGAGAGGCAGAGGAACCTCTGTGAGTTCAAAGCCAGCATGAGACCCTGTATCAACCCTACCCCCCACCACAAACACAAAAGAGAAAGACAATAAAACTATATAATATGCCCTAAGTCCTAAGAGAGCTGCAAAGGGAAAATAGGAATCTTAGCAAACTTTCTATTCTTGGCATTGTTTCCTTTGTTAACACCAAACAGAACTCAGAGGAAGATGCTTTACCTCCCAGGAGGGATTAAAAAGGTCATTGCAAAGTTCTTCACAGAAGCTTTCCAAAGGCCATTCATTTGTCTAAATAAGAAAGATATAATTAGTACTAGATCAAAGCTCTATGCCAACAATTTAAGAAATTCAACAAAGTGTGTTTATTTGCAGCATTAGCAATAACAACAAAGCTTTAAATTTTTAAAATGTTTTACTAACAAAGTGTTAAGACATTTACTAATAAATTTCTCTTTGTTGACCAATAACACAATATTCTCAATGTATACATTTAAGAAACTTATAAACAGGGGCTGGAGAGATGGCTCAGTAGTTAAAAACACTGGCTGCTTTTCTAGAGAACCCAAGTTCAATTCCCAGCACTCACATGACAGCTCACAACTGTCTCTAACTCCAGTTCCAGGGGATTTGACAGCCTTTTGTGAATTCCATGGACACCAGTCATGCAAGTGGTACACAGACACACATGCAGCAAAACATTCGTACAAATAATAATAATAATAATAATCTTAAAAAGAAAGTTATAAATACGTTCAATATACCTCCTCAATTAAGGAAGAACTTTCTGGAACATTATCAATCAAGACTTTGGAATCATTTGCAGTCTGATTAATAACAACATTTGCTACTTTCCGTCTCTTCTCTTCTGGCTCTCCATCAGTGCTATCATTGCTAAAAAAGAAGTTAATTTTAAAGTAAAGTAAGGAAAATATGAATGATCCACAACACAAGTAAGAAAAATCCATCATCTACATGGACATACTAATTTTGCTTATGTAGTTTAGTTAAAAACCTTATGTGTTGACTAAAATAATGAACTCATTAATATAAAATACATCCCACTGTTCTCTAAATTGGTGAATCCTTTCTTTCAAATTGAATCTCAAGTCTAACATTATTCTTTTAGTTCTATAACGAGTTCCCTTTAATTTTAAATCCTCTAACCCAACAACTTAATCTAGCATGACATTAACATTTTTAGGCTTTTGCAACCTAGAGAAAACTAATATGCCAAGTAATATACGATTATTAGCCAAAGGAATATGATTAAAATATGTTGTATGAAAAATTTTTTTAAAAAATTAGAAGTATACAGAAACTGACCACTGATAAAAAGTATGCAGAAAATTTAAGAAAAGTACTGTTTTATAACTTGAAAAAAATACAAAGGCTAGCCTAATGATAAATATTAAAAACAGGAAGACATGTAATATTACTTTTATTTAATCTGGGTGTAGTAGCACATACCTTTTACCTTAGCAACAATGAGATCAAGGCCAGCCTAGCCAATAACAACAACAACAAAAAAAAAAAAAAAAAAAAAAAAAAAAAAAAAAAAAAAACTTCCTTTATATGTCATTAAAAGAATTGAAAAGGTCAGGCATTGATGGCAGATGCCTTTAATCCCAATACTCAGGAGGATCTCTGCGAGTTCAAGGCCAGCATGGTCTACGAAGAAAGTTCCAAGAAAAGAATTGGAAAAGTAATGTAAAGTATAGATAGTCTTACTTTTTCTGAATTTTTCTCCTCTTACATCATATTGTTTTTGTTTGTTTTTTGAGAAAGGATTTCTCTGCATACCCCTGGCTGTCCTGGATTTAGCTCTGTAGACCAGGCTGGCCTCCAACTCACAGAGACCTGCCTGCCTCTGCCTCCTGAGTGCTGGGATTAAAGGCGTGTGCCACCAACACCCGGCTCTGTCTCTGTACCTTAATAGTGTGAAAGGGACTGAAGACTCCATCACCTCACCCTGTTCTTTACTAAATTCTCTATCAGGGTACACTGGTGAGTCACCTTAGATCTTTACACTTGCATAATTCTACTTCCAGACATTAGCTTTTACAATTGCATTTGGAATGTCTCTTCCTAGAAAGTTTCTTAGGAATGAGTACCCTTCTTTCAGATCACTATTCTAATATCTGTGAAGGCCTTCTAGACCATCCAATCAAAAATTTCCAACTCCGCTTCCCCTTCTGTGGTGGTTTGAATAAGAATGGCCCCCATAGGTTCACATATTTGAATGCTTAGTCACCAGTGAATGGCACTATTTGAGAAGGGTTTGGAGGTGTGGCCATACTGGAGGAAGTGTGTCACTGGTAGGTGGGATTTGAGGTTTCAAAAGCCCATGCCAGAGCACTCATATACATAAAATATATGAAAAAAAATCTTAAAAAAAATAACCTCTAGCATAGATTTCTATCAAATAGGTTTATTATTTTATAATACTTGTAATATTTACTAATCCATAACTTACTCAAATATTTATGCATACCATTTGAGTTTGGGTTTATAGACACAAGGGGCCTACAAATCTTTAATTTAACAAGTACTTTCAGAGAACAATCTGGAAGATGTAGTTTTGAACTAGCTACCCTTTGAGGACAGATAACACTTTTATTAATTCAAGTAAATAAGACAATTACTCTACTTCAGAATTCTTTTCTACAAAAAGATTAACCAAGCAAGTCTAGATTATCACCAACTTAGCATAGTCCCTAACTAAAGAACAGGGGATAACACAATGAGAGTACTTTAACTTAACAAGTCCATCATCTTGACTGGTGATCCTTAGAGCACCTCTCTGAATTCATTCTCTAATGTTTCCATTTGATACACTTCAGCCATCCTGTCTATCCTATAGTGAAGCCATTTATACTCCCTGTGACTGGAATGCTGTTCCCATGTCAGTCTTCAGTCTTCCTGTGAGGCTGAAAATAACTAAGCAAAAAAATAAAAAAATAAAAACAAAAAAATTCTACTCCTATACATTTTTCTACAGAAATAATCTCATTCCCTGTAACAGTACTCTGTCCTGAGTAAACAACCCAAGCAGTACTATTCAGCTGAATAAATATTAAAACTTACATCTGTAAATCAAGCACAATTACTGTTTCAAGTGAATAAACAGAAAGATTACTACCTCTTCTCATTGGTTTCCACTGCATCCCTGGATCTCTGTTTTGCAAATAACTTGGCCATTCTTTTAGCTTTGTTCTTCTGTCTATTACTCATTCCGGCTCGGAATTCTGAATCTATCAATTCAGCTGCCTGGAGAGCCTAAAAGAATAAAACAACATGTTTAAACAGTCAGAAATTAAAATAAATACCTATGGTTTCAATCTTAGGAAAGAAATAGGTATATAAATATACAGAGATTAAGCATTATTTTTTATAACATTATGCTATTATGTTACATGGTTGTATCATGATTTTACTCTCAAACCAGGTGTACTGAAACACTTAAAATACTAACACTTGGAAGGGTGGAGGAAGAAGAGAAAGCTAGGGCTATCTAGTAAGGCCTTGTCTCAAAATCAAAAATGCCTTTAATCCGTCAGCCTGGTCTACCTATTGAGTTCCAGGACAACCAGGAACACATAGAAAGATCTTATCTCAAAAACTAAATAATTTAAACTTCAAGAAAAATCTTTCTTAATTATCTAATTCCCAACAGACTAAGTCTTGTTTCATAACTCTTTTAAACTACAGGTATGGCATAAATAATCCTAAAAAGAAGAGTGTTTCTGAAGAGCTGAAACTTCAAAATAATCATAATATCATCAAAAGTTATGAAAATAAAATTCCCATAAAAGAAACCAATGCTTATCATGTGGGGAAAAAAAAATTTAGTATCTGTCATCAACTTAGCACATGATCCTTTCACCTTAGCCACATCCTGCTTCTTTTGATCTTTTTCTACTCATTGCATAATAAGCAAATATTAAGGTGCTTGTCTACTCAGGAGGCTAATGAGTCCAGAAATTTGGGCCTGAGCAACATAATAAGAATCCCAGCACCTTGGAGGCAGAGGCAGAAGTATCATAGGCTGGAGAGGCAGAGAAACACAGATGGAAAAAGATATACTGTGTTTATATCACAAAAAAAAATATTTTTAAAATTCATTTCTGAAGCTGGGCAGTGGCAGTACAATCCTTTGATCCCAGCACTCTGGAGACAGGCAGATCTCTGTGAATTTGAGGCCAGCCTGATCTACAGATTGAATTCCAGGATAGTCAGGGATGGGGGTGGAGGGAGCTGTAAAGAAAAGAAATTCTTTTCTGTATCTATTCTAAGAATTACCTGAAATTGTAACCACACCAGTAAGGATTACTAGTATGGGTGCAGTGTTGAGGTCTTGGAACCAGGAACCACTGGCACATGACAATGCAGCTATAGCATATAGCAACAAAAACCTTTAAGAAATTTCCCTTAAGGGGTCTCAAATATGCAAGACCAACCTGTTAGGACTAAAGCCTCCCCAACAAGTTTTGCTCTGTAGCACAAGCTAGCCTAGAATTCATTATGCAACTCAGGCTGGCTTCTGTCTCCAGAGTTAGGGGATTATTACATACACCATTGTACCTGACCAGAAGCAGGAAATATTAATGGAGCCAAAGGGACCTAAAAGATTTTAGAGGATAGGAGAATGAGTACTGAACCTCTTGAAACATAACATTTCACTTGTGTGTGAAACAGAGTCACAGCCTTTAGAGCTTCAAAAGACGGTGTCCAAAATGGAAGATAATGCGTACTGGGAAGATAGGGAAGGAGATGGAAATGGATCTGGGAAGAGTTAGGGGTGGGTAGGACCAAAATATATTGTTTGGAATTCTAAAATAATTAATAAAAACATTTATTTTTAAAAGTTCAAATGCATCCACTGACAATTCAAATAAAGGGAAAAAAAGAGAAAGTGAAACTATGACTCAGCCATAAAATGGAACAAGGCTGTCATAAAAGAGAGTCAGCAAAGTGCCCACTGTGTAAGCGTGAGGACTTGAGATCACGTTAGAGTCAGACACACCAGGCAGAGACTGGTTCCTAGGGCTTATTGGCCAAGCAACCTAATGAAGGGATGAGCTCCAGGTTCAAAGGAGACCTTGTCTCTAAAACTAAGGTAACTGATCAAGAAAGACAATAGATGTTGACCTGACTTGTACGTACAAGAATACACATATAGTAATGCACCCGGAAAACCTCATGCATACACCCACATGAACACATATATATACTAAACACATAAATGTGTTTAATCTACATATACTGATATACTAAGCTATATTAAGTGGGGAATGGTCAATACAGTCTAAATGAACACACACAATACTTGGGTCTATAGAAATTTCTCTGTTCACTTGGATAACAAAATGAAGTAAAATCTTTGTGTTGTTACTTGCAATCAAATAACCCAATGTTTTACCTACAGATTGTTTGTTTACAAGAGCTGCTGAAGTTGGGGTGTAATCCAAATCTTCATCGTTGAAGAGTTCTTCAGTACTCATTCCAATAGCTTCTCCCATATTAAGTCCAAGTTTCTTCTGCAATAATTTCCGTTGACGTGCTATTCTCTCTTTAGGATCCACTTCACCTATAAAAAGAAAATACATTCCCTCCAAATCAGTTAAGGAAGTTTTTCCTATGTGCACATCAGACTCCCACTATATTAAAAAACACAAACTGACATTTGCTAGGTTAATTGCAAGTGGTACCACATGTCTGTAATTCCAGCACTCAGAAAGCTAAGGCAGCAGTAAGGGGCCAATCTAGGTTACAGGGTTGAGGTTAAGTTTTGAAATATCACCAGCAAAATATCAAATCCTTCAAGGAAAAACAGTAAAAACAGAATTATACCAAAAAGATGGCATTTCAAAAATAAAAACAGAGGGAGCTGGAGAGATGGCTTCAGGGTTAAAAGCACTGGCTACCCTTCCATAGGACCTACATTTGATTCTTAGTACTTGCATGGCAGTTTATAACTGGTTGCAAATGCGGTTCTATGGGATCCAAAGCCCTTTTCTGGCCTTCTCCAGGCACCAGTCATACATATGGCATACTCAAGGCCACAATCCTGAATAGGAAAACATTTATTTTCCTGTGACCACCCCTTTTTGGTTTTTTGAGATAGGGTCTCCCTGTGTTGCAACCTAGACTCAAATGATCCCAAGGAGCTGGCATTGAGGTAGGAGCCACTGCATTCAGGCATTTATTTACCTTTGTATCTAATATATTCTGTTAGCTTAAAGATAATGAATGAGCCAGTTACCTAGCCAAGGTTTGATTTTAATTTTAATTTCAGTTTTTTACTTTGCACACAGGCACAAGATCTAACACTACTCAAAACATAAGATAATACAATAAAAATAACCTTCAAATTCCCAGAATAGTAAAAACACTGCCACATTCTGTATTGGTTCTGATTAATCCGGCTTTAGAACAACCACTATTGGTCACTTTGTCTACCCATAACTCCCCCATAAATAAAAATTTCAGTCAATACACATTTCATGATTCCTTATATATTAAGCAGCACACCAAACGATAAATTAGCTTGAAACCAAAAGTTCGCTTCTCCAGGACTATTACTAACCTGATTTTTCATCTTGGACCTCAAATTCTGCACCAGCAGACCCTAAAAGTGATGCACCATGCTGTAACAATCTGCATATATCAAATCTGTCAAAATTTAATCGATCTGTAGTAGATGAATCTTCCATAGAACTTTCTGTAGGTTCTAGACAAAGTTTAAAAAATATTAATTTGACCATATAGTTAAAGTACAGAATGAAAGAACATGGCATAGCATTACTTGCAGTATTGTCTAACATTTAAGAAAAGCAAAGAAATAGAAAAACCACCGTGATTTATCTACAATCACTTCTTAGCTATCTGTGAATCAATTATTAACTTGGTGACTCCTTCTACAAGCCATCAAAGTGTTAAGTGGTATGTGTTTCTAACCACGAAAGCATGTTATATGAAGAAATGCTTCTGTGTTGACCTATATGTTAAATATCATACTTTAATTTATTGTTTAAGGGTTTAAAACCTACAGTTACAGTATGAGTTTATTATACTGTTAAATCAGAAGATAATCATGCACAAAATATATTCATAATTAAGTAACAAACATTGTCTCTCCCTATGTTGGAGAAATACAAACAACTACTCATTTAATAGGATACAAATAACTACTCATTCAATAGGACTTACTTTTCATATTCTAATTGGAACCTCATGACAAACTATTGAAATTATACATCCATTTGAGAACCAAGAATATCTTCAAAGTGTTCTACATTCTTTCCAAAAAAGATCAACTATACATGCCAAACTATAACTGCTTACTAACACAACAGTTAATCTGGCATTTTCAGTCATGTACTACAAACTATAGTGTAACTGATTTAATTTAAAAAAACAAAACAAGCCTCTTTTGGGTCTTGGCTCCAAGATGACCAATAAAAGAAGAAATAAGGTCGTGCCAAAAAGGGCTGCAGCCATGTGCAGTCAATTCACTGCATGAATTGAACCCAGTGCATACCCAAGGACAAGGCCATTAAGAAGTTCTTCATTCGGAACATTGTAGAGGCTGCTGCTGTCAGGGACATATCCAAAGCAAGTGTCTTTGACGCCTATGTGCTTCCCAAACTCTATGTCAAGCTGCATTATTGTGATTACTTTGTGAGCTGTGCTATTCATAGCAAGGTAGTCAGGAATCAATCTCGTGAAGCCCAAAAAGACCAAACACCTGACCACCACGAATTTAGACCTGCTGGTGCAGAACCACAACCTCCACAAAAGCCCATGTAAAGAGGTGACGAGAAAAAAACAGAACACCTTAGAAAAATAAAATGGGACTTGATGGGGAATGTACTGTGTATGTTTATCTTATTGACTGTTAAATAAAATACTGTTTGGCCAATGAAATGGCAAGTTAGGCAGGACTAGGAGTCAAAGAGGATTCTGGGAAATGTAGTAGAGAAGTGATGATCCAGACAGGAAATGACATAGCAAGGAGACTCATATTTAAGCGAAGGAGAAACAGAAAGGGTCCTTTTTTCCCCTTCCTCCTCCATCGGCAGGATGTGAGCCACCGGCAAGGAGGGACACCAATAAGGCATCCGATAAGATAAGTCTTATAAAATATATATTTATGATAATTGAGACTGAGCTAACAGATGAGAATCCTAGTCATTGGCCAAGCAGCTTTGAACCTAATACAAGTTTCTGTGTATTTATTTGGACGTAACTCGGGCAGGCGGCTAGCGTAAAGCTCACACGTGGCGGTGGGGCTCAGAGGCTTTTGACAGAAAGATATATCATAACAGGGACTTATATTTAAAAAAAAATAAAAAACCCATGAATGTTTTCTAGTAATGATAAGCTGTTTCACTATTATTTTTAATGCTAGGTTAATTTAATTCAATAAAATGAACTGTATTATGTCTATCTACCAAGATAATATGGGGAAAAGCTGGAAATGAAAGGTTCTGTCTTTACATTTGATAAAAGGCAAATTAACACAAAAATTCAAAGTAACACATCAGAAAATAAAAGCAAAAACTTTAAGAAAGATAAGATTTATGCAAAAATACTAAAATGAATCTAGTTGCTCCTTACTGAATTCTCATTTAGAGAACATTTAGTTTATCTTATGAAGTAGTGCACAATGCTAGAATAAAAACTCAACCAGCACTCAGGAGGCAGAGGCAGGTGGATTTCTGTGAGTTCTAGGCCAACCTGGTCTACAAAGCAAGTTCCAGCACAGCCAGGGCTGCTACACAGAGAAACCCTGTCTCAAACACAAATAAACACTCCTGGAAACTAAACTGGACAGTATTCATAACTGATACTGTGTTGATGGAGTCTAAAACACAAAATTTAGATAAAATAATACATAATAAAAGTTCACTTACGGCCAGGCTTTGGTGGTGCACGCCTTTAATCCCAGCACTTGGGAGGCAGAGGCAGGCGGATCTCTGTGAGTTCCAGGCCAGCCTGGTCTACAGAATAAGTTCTAGGACAGCCAGGCCTATACAGAGAAATACTGTTTCAAAAAAATTAAAATAAAATAAAATCACTTAAATTATATGCCTTATATTGCCTCAAAGGCATATGCTTTGCTTTAAATTATCTATACAGGCAATCATAAAATAAGTACTACAATCCTTTACAACAATACAACATTCAAAGAGAACAACAAAAAAACACTAATTTGGGATAGCAGTATAGCTCAGTAGTACAATTCCTGCTTATCATCCACAAGGCCCTGGGTTTAACCCTAACACCACAAAATCAAAAACAACAAACAAGAAGACAAACACCCTACACCGAGGAGGGACATGACTAAAGAGTTAGCTTGCCAAATAGCCATACATAAATTTTCCTGAAGTTTAGAAAATATCACACTATATGGTTTTTCAAAGAATAGTAAAAAATGAATTGTTTCAGATATTTATACCATATTCATCCTTGTTGGGAAGTAATAAGTTTAGTACCCTATATGACTAAATATTTTTAGAAATATATATGAAAATATTGTTTATCCATCAGTTTCTTTTTTTAAGTTTAGTGGCAAAAACCATCTTATTCAATATTCTTTCCTAGCAAAGCTGAACCTGAAAAATTGAAAATTAAGCCTTTAAGTCAAAACTGAAATGATTAAACTACATACTTCACACTGTAGTTAATTCTACAGCTATGTTTTATTTCAAACTACTTTTCCACTTTAAAGGCACCTTGTTTGGTTCTTGGCACTGGATTCCACTCGGGCACGTTTTTCACTATAGCTTCAACAGCTTGTCCTGCAGCAATCCGGGTATCCCAATTTGCACTCCTTAAATATATTAATACCTTCAAATTATAAAATAAATTACATATCAAAACAAAAGCTTGTTCCAGGTAACAAGAAAAAATATTAATTTATTAATTTATAATCTAGGGTCCTTCAAATATAACACACTTAGAATTATTAAACTAATTCATAAAGTTTTTGATTATTCACAAAAATATTACTATCACTTTTTTTTTTTTACATTTACTATATATGCATGTTGGAGGTTAGAGGACAATTTGCAGAAGTTGGCTCTCTCCCTCCACTATCAGTGCTCCCGTAACTGAACTCGGGTTATCAGGCTTGGCAACATCCTCCTTTATCCACGGAGCCATTTCTTGCGCCTTCACTACCATCTTCAATGGGGAAAGAGGAACCAGATATAATGATGCACATCATTAATCCCAGCACTCGGGAGGCAGAGACAGGTGTCTCTCTGTGAGTTTGAGACCAGCCTGGTCTACAAAGCAAGTTCCAGGACACCTAGAGCTGTTACACAGAGAAACCTGCCTCAGAAAAAAAAAGGCTGGAGGGGAGGGGGGAGCCCGGGGCCTGGCTAAACAACACAAGTAATAAAAATACATGCACCTCTCCACTCACCTTACAGATGAGTATAATAATGCCGAATATGTATCCTTTACCATCTAAGAATGTGGGGTCTATAGGTATCAATCAGTCTCTCCATCTACATCTTGGTTAGAAATTCAGATAGTATCACCATTAGCCCTCATGGTACCAATCACACAATACATATTTGTATGTGTTGAAAGGAGATTTATTTATTTATTTATCTAACTATTTATTTATTTTGTTTTTTCAAGACGGGGTTTCTCTGTGTAGCTTTGGAGCCTATCCTGGCACATTTTGTAGACCAGGCTGGCCTTGAACTCACAGAGATACTCCTCCTGCCTCTGCCTCCCAAGTGCTGGGATTAAAGTTGTGTGCCACCACTGCCAGCGAAAGGGGATTTATAACTCTGACTCCTTTGCATCAGGCAGGGAGAGACAAATGAGAATGAAAGGATGATAGACTAGAGTCTAGTCACTAGACTATCTTAGGGCTTCCAATATCTAGACAATCATATGCCCTCACCCTGACCTCTAAATAGGTAGTTCTCAACCTTCCTAATGCTTTTAACCCTTTTAACACAGTTCCTCATGTTGTGGTGACACCTAAACTATAAAATTATTTTGTTGCTACTTCATAACTGTAATTTTGCTACTGTTATGAATCATAATATAATTATCTGATACGCAACATAATCTTAACCCCCAGTGAGTTAAGAACCACTTCCCTGCTCCCACCATCCCAAAGTATTACTGCTTTATTCTGCATGCCAGGGAATTTAACACGTGAAATTTATCAAATATTAATGTAGAGGTACATTTCAGCATATCCACAGTTAAACAAAAATACAGCCATTACATAGGAAAAGACATGTACTAGGACTACAGAAACACTGACCCAAAGCAAAAATTTCCCATCCCAAACAGCTCAACTAGCATCATATATCCAAGTATTGCCCATGAGCACTAATCCATTTGAAGACTACCACATATCATATAATTATTAGTCATTAAGAACAAGTTAGACCACTAACAAACCAGATTAACAACTTAGTTCATTACCAAACTGGGTCAGATTCAAGTTGGTTGCTCAAGCAAAAGGTTCAATATTGACAGATCTCTTAAACAAATCAAATTGATTTAAATACTTTTTCTTACAAGCAAATAGCAACTTTGAAAAACTATTTGGAGAGCTAAAGATATTTAATGGAATTCAGAGAATACAAGGTTACTTAGGATGATTTTACCTGTGCTGTTGTTTCTCTGCCATGGACAAGTCTTTATACTTGTGTTACATTAAAAAACACTGAGTTCTTACCTTAGATAACAAATTGTTTAGTTCATGAGGATGAAGCTTCACTACTTCTCCAAGTTGCTGTGCAGCAGCTTTTCTTGTAACTGGAGTAGTACCGGTATCCAATAAGATAAAAAGACGATCAAGTCTATAATAATAGCAAAAATACTACAGTTAATCTGGGTGTTTCCTCATAAGCTTGAGGCAGAAAATGTATTAAACATCTCTGAAGCCAGGCAGTGGTGGCATACGCTTTTAATCTCAGCACTCAGAAGGCAGAGGCAGAAGGATCTCTGTCAATTCAAGGCCAGTCTGGTCTACAGAGCGACAGGCTCCAGGGACACAGAGAAACTCTGTCTTCAAAAACAAAAACAAAAACAAAAACACCTCTGAACAAAGCCTTGTGCTGGGAGTCAGGCATGGTGGCATGTACCTGTAAACCCAGTAACTGAGAAGGAACAGAAAGATCAAGAGTTAGACACAGCTATGTAGCAAATTCAAGGCCAACCTGGGCTATGCAAAACCTTGTCTTGAACATCAATTAAAAATGATCTGTACCATGGCAATAAGATAGACTATCTTTGCTCTCAAGGAAGAAGGAACGGGAGCGGCAATAAGCTGAGTGGTGGTTCACAAATTCAAGGCCAACCAAGGCTATTATAGTGAGTTCAAGTCCAGCTTGGGCTCCAGAGAAGACCTCAAAAATACATAAATAAATGAAATTTAAAAGAACTAACCATAGGAAGGAAGGAAGGAACTTGCAAAACAAATAAGATGGCTTGGTTATAATTCAGGGTAAACAGAAAACAGGATGACCAGGTACAACTACTAGCACTTGGGAGGGAGCAGAGACAGACTGTTAAGCTTGAGGGCAGAAAGTGTTCCCAACCAGCCAGGACTGCATAAGGAGACCTTGTCTAAATAAATAAACAATAAACTAATGAAAAAGGGAGGGAGGGAGGGAGGGAGGGAGGGAGAGAAAGAAAGTAAAGGAAATATAGTATTCTGCGAAGAAAAGAAAATACACTTACAGAAGTAACATGAAAAACTTGATTGTATGGTGCAACAAAAATCTTGGCTCAAGAAAATAATGGGCCGGCAGGGCATAGTGGTGCACAATTATGTCAGTACTCAGAAGGCTGAAATAGGATGACTGTGGGTTTAAAGCCAGTCTGGACTACATAAAAAGAAAGCAGGAAGGAGACAAGCAGAAGAGAGCAGACATGGTGCACTAAGTTATGCATTAGGAAGATTGATCTGGCATTAGTGGGAAGCCTTGTAGAGAACTAAACCACAATCCTAACAGAAACACAAAGAAACTAGAAGTTATGATACAGAAGAAAACCATACATAGAAACAAAACATACATAGTGTGGTAATTAAGCAAAGCATCATGGTGTTGAAAGAATTTTGAGATTTTGAATCTTAGAAATGAAGATATCAAGCAGGGCTTTGTGTACATGCTTATAACCCCGGCACTTAGGAAAGCTGGGCAGAATGATCAGTTTGAGGGCGACACCAGCCTAAGCTACACCTAGTTCAAGACCAGAGTGGGCTACATATTAAGACTCTGCCACAACTCCCCATCACATTCCACCTCCTAAAGAGAAAAAAGGTATCACTTTTTGAGAAAAGGCAGTTTAAACACAGGAAAAGATGGCAAGCTCACTAGTAGTAGGCAAAGTATAGCTAGAAGAGCACAAAATGATAGTTGGAATAGACAGCTAGCATTCCGGAGAAAGTTGATAAGAGTCATCTGCACAGAGATGATCTGCACAGAGGTGATAAACATGACAACATATTCCTGAGTTTGTAACTCATATGGGATAATGTCACAAACCCAAACCCTAGTTGTGCTACTTATAAACAAGGTGTGCAATAAAACCACAATAGATTATGCCTAGAGTAAACAGTGAAGGTGGACAAAGTCAAAAACTACACCACTTATCTACAAGTCACACAGTAGCCTTGCCACCACATTAACCCACTGAAGTAACGTTAGTGCCATGTTTATGAAAGGAGGCTTCATATTTGGGATAAATGGATGGGAACAAAAGGCAAGATTAAAAGAACTGCCTATCTGACACGAGGGAGAGCTACTGGATATAACTTTACATTTTATCTGTAAGAAAGAGAAAACAAACAAGGTCCCAAAGCTAGGCATGAACTTTAAGCATCAATAAACTAAGAGGTTTATAATTCTTCTGTGATTCTTCTTATCTCACAAAGAACTAAAAAGTTACAAAGTTCTGAAAGCTTTTTATTTAAGGAAAAAAGGAAGAGAAGGAGTTGAAAGGGAAAAGAAATAAAAAGACTATTAGAGGACAAATGAAATAGATGAAATTTCTTTCACACTAAGGATACACAGATCAGTTATCAAAGTGGTCCATGCCTTTAATCCCAACACTCAGTAGGGAGACAGGCCGGTGGATCTCAGAATTCAAAGCCAGCTAGGGTTACATAGTGAGGCAGAAACATTATATTTTAAAAATGATTCATATTGCTGGCAGTGATGGTACATTCTAATCCCAGCACTTGGGAGGCGGAGGCAGAGGCAGAGGCAGATGATCCCTTTGAGTTCGAGGCCAAGCTGTACTAAAGAACTAGTTACAAGACAGCCAGGACTCCACAGAGAAACCCTATCTCAAACACCAAGAAGAAGGGGAAAAAAGTATTCATAGGAAGCATAAAATCATTATAAATAGTTAGAAATATAACTAAAATACATTTTCAGTCAATATTAATAGTATTGAAATGTTCAACTATTTCAGAACAAAATGCTGACACATGGTTTATGTCTTATAGTTTTTAAGGGTATTGTAAGGAAGATAATGCTCAAGAAAATTTCTTTAGGCAATTAAAACTAAAGGCAAATGAAAAATAATATAACAGTTAAAGTCCAAAATATGCAAAAATTAATTTAAACATATACAGTGCATGTAGGCAGTATTTCTTCTTGCTCATTCACAGCTTCTAAACACTTGCCTTTACCCTTTTGTGGAATATTTTTGGAAATATAGTAGAAGCTTCAGGAGGTGTGCCTAGCTGAAGGAAGTAGATCACTGGGGATATGTCTTCAAATGGTTATCTCTGCCTCTCTGTTGTGGTGACATTTTGTTTATGCTACAATAAATAAAGCTTGCCTAAAGATCAGAGTGCAGAGCTAGCCACACTAGTTAGCCATAGAGGCCAGGCAGTGGTGGTGCACACTTAATCCCAGCACTCAGGAGACAGAGGCAAAGGGATCTGTTAGTTCAAGGCCACCCTGGGCTACACAAGATTGAATCTGTCTAAAAGAGAAACAGAGTTCTCACAAAAGTGATCCCAGCACTTGGGATCCCACACCTTTAATCCCAGCACTTAGGAGGTGGAGACAGGAGTAATATGGCTGGGAGAAGAGAGGAATATAAAGTGGGAGGAGACAGGAGCTCAGTGCAGTATGAATAACAGTCAATCTGAACATGAAGTCTGAGAAGATGGCTGCCCCTTTGGTATGAGCATTGATAGAGTTAAGAACTCTAGTGGCTGGCCGCTCTACTTCTCTGATCCTTCAGCTTTTACCCCAATAGCTGACTCCAAGTTTCTAAGAGAATTCTTGCTACACTCCGTCTCGTTCTTCCTTTCCTTTCTCTGCTTGGGGTGAGCAGTCCTACACTACCATGTCTGACAGGGGATGCCCTCCTGTATGCTGTGAATACTGGTTGATGAAAAAAGCTGTTTCAGCCAATGGATAGGCAGGATTTAGCCACGTGGGAAATCCAGACAGGGATAGAGAAAGGTAGTAGGTAAAGAAGACATCATGTAGCTGCTGAAGAAGCAAGAGGCCCGGGCATCACTGGTAAGTCAAGACCACATGGAGATACACAGATTAATAGAAATGCATTAATAATTAAGAGAGAGCTAGTCAATAAGAAGCCTGAGCCATCACCCAAACAGTTTACAATTAATATAAGCCTCTGTATATTTATTTGGTACTCAATGGCTACAGAACCAGGCAGGACAGAAACTTCGTCTACACATGCCTTTTACTCAAGCTATTCTGCCTTCCCATAGGCTCACACAATGGAGCCAGCCAGCCATGGACTGTGACCTCTGAAACAGTAAGCTGAAATAGCTTTCTTTTGTTTTTGTTTTGGTTTTTTGTTTGTTTGTTTTTTGAGGCGGGGTTTCTCTGTGGCTTTGGAGGCTTCTCAATAGCTTCTTTCTTGAAGCCATCTCTCAAATACCTGGCACAATGACAAAACACTGATTGGCACATCATTCCTTCACTGGTTTTTGCTAAAGGATTAGTAGGAAGATTTAGAATCTGATACAAAAGAAAGGAAAACTGTTGAGGACCATCAGTATTCTTAACAAGTCCTAAGGTAAGCTCAGACTTAAAATCCTTTCACTATATATAATATAAACTGATTCCCTTACTACTCCATTTTATATGTGATTCTCAGGTCTGAGCCCTTTGACTTGTTTTCACGAGACTGGTATGTCATAGTTCATGAGCGCCCTCTAAATCTTCGAAACAAATATCCTTGGAGATGATAAAACACCTGCATGTTGCAATTCTGAATGCCTCAAGTTCAATGATGAAAAAAAATTTCATGAAATCTTAGGAGACCAACAAGATGACTTAACTGAGCAGGTAAAAGGGCTCTCGACCAAGCTTAATAACCTAGGCTCAATCCTCAGAACCCACATAGTTGAAGAATCACAACTTGTCTCTGATCTCTACATACATACCATGATACATGTACAGCCTGTCCCCCAAAATAAATGTTTTTAAAAAGAAATTTTAAGCATGCAAGAACAGATAGGCACCATGACAAATATCCAATTTTTTTAAAGTCTCCCTTTGAAATCCAACTAAATTTAACCTCCTACTTAAAGTCTTTATTTAACAAACTGCAACCTCACTTGGCCCAGATATGCATTTTAAATCTTAAATTTTATGGAAGGCAAAATTGCCAAAAATTAAATATTTAAGTAGATTTTATTATAAAGAAATAGTTAAAGGAGCTGGGAGATAGCACATTGGGTAAGAACACTTGTTAGGCAAGCATGAAGGCTGAATTTGAATCCCTAGCACCTATATTTTTAAGAAGCTGGGCATGTTCATGTATGCCCCTGTAATCCCAGGGCTGTGGGAGTCAGTGA